TGGAGGGAAGGACCCAGGGAAGAGGTAACTATGGGGAGGAAGTGGGAAGAGAGCTGTTGCATTGTGGGAAATTGCAGTCAATGTCATGAGACAAAATGTATGTGAACTGCTGAATGGAAAATGAATTTGCTCTGTAAACTTTCATCCAAATCACAATAAAAATTACAAAAAGAAAAAAAAAAAACAAGCAATTTCTGGCTCAGATGGCTTCATGAGTGAATCCCATCTGTCATTAACATCTCTACTCCTACACAAATCTCCCAGAGCATAGAAAGAGGGAATACTCCCAGTTTTTGTTAATGAGGTCAGCTTAGAGGAACAGATTATCCTCACCAATCCCATCAATAAAGGAGGCAAAGAAGAATCCAGAAAAAAAACACTAGAGAAATCTCACAGAAGAAAGATGGAACATAGTCTTGCCTTTTCCTAATCCATTTATCACAAAGCTCCTTGAGAACCTTATAAATCACTAATCGGATTGATCACACCTTAATTCCCTCAAGAGTGTTCCCCAGGTGCTCAGTGGTTAAGTGCTCCACTGCTAACTGAAAGGTCAGCAGTTTAAACCCATCAGTCACTTCAAAGGAGAAAGATGTGGCAGTCTGCTTCTACAAAGAATGAAAAATCAAACCAAACTCTATGCCATGGAGTAGATTCCAACTTACAGAGACCCTCTACATTGGGTTTCCAAGGCTGTAAATCTTTATGGAGACAGACTGCCCCATCTTTCTCCCAAGGATCAGCTGGTGGATTTGAATAACCAAGCTTTTGGTTAGCAGTCAGATGCCTTAACTACTACACCACCAGAGCTAGAAACTCTATAGAGCAGTTCTACTCTGTCTTATAGGGGCACGATGAGTTGGAATTTTTACATGTCCTTGGGGAAATGTTTGGCCTCTGGTCCCACAGGCTTCACCTTGGTGGCTCTCACCTCTTCAGTCCCAGCTGAGGTGTGTGGGCTCGCAAGTCCAGGTACCAAAAAAAAAAAAAAACAAACTCACTGCCTTCGAGTTGATTCCAAGTCATAGCAACCCCGTTTGTGTTTCCAAGGTGGTAAATCTTTACAACATGCCCAGTCTTCCTTCCATGGAGTGGCTGGGGGGTCTGAACTACCATCCTTCTGGTTAGCAGTCAAATGCCTTCGGCACTATGCCACCAAGTCCAGGTACATGGGGTTCTTTTTTTTTTTTTTTTCTGTGGAACCCATGCCCTGCCCTTGACTGCATCAAGCTCTCCCTTCCCAGACCTTCTAGGCTAGGAGCTGTGTGCTGACCTCTTGCACCACCAAGGCTGTCAATCTTCCCGGAAGCAAGCCCAAACCCAACCCACTGCAGTTGAATCTAGTGGAGTCGGACTCACAATGTCCTTAGAGGACAGAGTGGAACTGCTCAGGAGGTCTCCAAGCCTGTCAGGCTTTTGGAAAGCAGACTGTCTAATTCTGCATGGAGCAGTTGGTGGTTTCAAACCTCCAACTGTTTGGTTAGCAGCTGGATGTCTTAACCACTGCACCACCAGAGCTCGTTAGGGACTCAAGTACCTCTCCAAGGAGCTCTGGTGACACAGTGCCTAATGCATTTGACTGCTAATCAAAAGGTGGGTAGTTCAAACCCATCAGCATCTCCTCAGAGGGAAGATGGGGCAATCTACTTCCATAAAGTTTTACCTCCTCCAAAACCCAGCGGGGGTCACTATGAGTCAGAATCGACTCAATGGCAGTGGGTTTGGTTTGGTTTTAGAAGTAGCTGATATTCACCCTTTACACTTCAGTGCCAATGAACTTTGCGGAGGAAAGCTGCTTTCATTCTGGCCAGCCTTCTCAGAGCCCACATCAAGCATCTTTGGGCCTGAGCAGTTGTCACAGATCCCCCACACGCACTTGAGAGACACCATACCTCTGTATCTAGGAATTCTGTCCATGGAGCGGGGCCTACATACACACGTGTACACATGCACATACAAAACTGGAAATTACTCACCTCCTTCTCAGTGGAACCTTCAAATGGCTCCCTGGGCTGGATGCTGAGCCGTGTCACCCACTTTTTACAATGGGTTCATCTGAGATACCTTCCTAGGGCTCCTCCCTTTTATAGGGTGTGTGCTCTCAAGGTGATGTGTTAAAAGATGTGATTGGATGAGACCCTCCTACTGACTGAGCCACTGATGGAATCTTCTTGACCCTACAGCTCCTGGCTCCAATACCGTAGCATCGAAACCTGGAGTCTACGGGCACAGGCCAATCAAACACAGATACTGTGCAGTGAAATGGAGCGGCATTCACACAAAGGGAGATTGTTATCATTGTTGCTAGTTGCTGTCCAGTCAATTCTGATGCATGGAGATGCCCCAGGAAGAGCAGGGCTGCTCCACAGGGTTTTCCTATGGAGGCTGTGACCTTTCAGAAGCAGGTCAGCAGGCCTGCCACCTCAGTGCCTCTGGGTGGGTTCATACCAGAGCCTTTGGCTAGCAGTGGAGTGCTACCCTGGGATGTCTCTCCAACATTTAATTGACTGTTAATATACCAACACTTTATCAGACGAACTTGTCAGAGGTCAGCCATTGGATAAACCCACTACCATCGAGTTGATCCCAACTCATAGTGACCCCATAGGTGTCCAAGGCTGTAACTCTTTATGGAAGCAGACTACCTCATATTTCTCTCTCCCACAGAGCAGCTAGTGGGTTCGAACCATCAATCCTTTTCGTTAACAGCCAAGTGCCTTAACCACTGTGCCACCACAGTTCCTTTTAAGCATTAGATACTGTGTCAAACAATCAAACTACTTTCCGTTTGCAACACCCAGGTGCTCCTAGATTGGGCCTAACCCACTGTCATTGGGGTGATTCTGACTCGTAGCAACCCCCACTGGGTTTTCAAGGTGGTAAATCTATGTGGAAGTAGATTGCCCCATCTTCCTTCCACAGAGCAGCTATTGGTTTTGAACCGCCAACCTTCTGGTTAGCAAGCAGATGCCTTAGGCACTGCACCACCAGGGCTCCTTAGATAGGGCCCAACAGTGTCTAATCCTGCCTAGAGTATGGTGGAGATGGGTCTCAAATGGAAGCATTGGGTTAAGAACCTGTCAGTTAGTAGTGCAGCAATCAATCGTTTGTGTCACCAGGGCCTCCATGTCATTAGCACATTTCTTTATGCTCCAGAAGGAGACACTAGAAGTACATGCGTGGAGCAGGTGCTGCAGGAACATCTTGTGTTTGTGTGATATTTGCTGGTGGTCCTCCAGCTGGGATCTCTGCACAACAGGTCAGTAGAAGGAGACTCTAGATGCAGTCTGTGGATACCAGACAACGGTGGGAACTCAGTGACCACACCCTCCCATCCAAATGTTGTCTCTCTCTTAACACTGATAGCTGTGAGGATTTATCTACCTCCCAGCACAAAGACCAGACAGCATCCAAAAAGAAGGTACACTTTTCACCTCTCCAGCTTCATAATTTTTAGGTTCATATTGAGGGACATTGCCCTGCAGTGTAAAACCTTTTACAGTACTAAACAAAGGGATTATTTTTATTAGGCTATTTTATTACACTGTTGGATCACTGTAGACAGGGCAGTTTGGTGGGAAAGAATTCCCTTTCACAACTAGGAAGCTGTAGTACTAGTGAAATACCCCACATCTATGGATAGACTTTAAAGGCCAAATGAGCAAACTGAATCAAATTGAGAGTTTTTAAAATAAACTGTTTAGGGACAATTTGATAACATAAAAATGTAAGTAAGACAATTAGGATGTTGGCTGTAAAGGCTATGTCTCTTAACCCTGCAATCCAAAAACACGGACATTTTCCAGAGTGTTTGGAATATTTAAGAAAGCTGTATTAGGCCATAAAACAATTCTCCATTGATATAATGCAATTGAACATTGCACAGAGGCCCAGGAATTTTATTGGATAAATCATACATAGTGATATGAAACAAAAACTTTGAAATACCATTATTTATAGATAATGCTAGGATGGCAAACAACATTATTGTTATTGGAACATATTTAAGATTCTGTTATAAAATTTGTATATTATATTTAATACAATAAGACATAGAAGAAAATTAGCCAAAAATGAATGTAATAGAATAAAGTAAAACTTGGTGATTCATGAGCTAAATTTCCAGTATTAGAAATTAGAAAATAAATAAATACCGATCAAAGTCGATAAAAGTAAAAATGTACAGGCACGCCTCGGAGATATTACGGGTTTGGTTTCAGACCACTGCAATAAAGTGAATACTGCAAGAAAGCAAGTCACATGAATTTTTAGTTTTCCCAGTACATATAAAAGTAATACCCATGGCAGTGGGCCTGGTTTGGTCTGGTTCATAAAAGTTATTTCGACCCTAGACTCTAGTCTATTAAGGGGCTCTGGTGGTGCAGTGGTTAAGACATTTGGCTGCTAACCAAAGGGTCAGTGGCTGAGTGAAATAAGTCAGTCGCAGAAGGATAAAAACTGTATGAGCCTATTACCTTAAAAAAAAACAAAGAAGGGTTTGCTTGTGAAAAGGACTCACTTTGTAGGCTACGGGGGTGGGGAGGTAAGGGGAGGGATTAATTCCAGGTTAGTTGGAGCCCACTCA